GAGGACGGCCATGTGAAGGAGCACTCACGGTTTCTATGGATGTACAGTTATAAGTAACTACTACTGCTGATGTCTCTCTCTCCTTATGAGACATATGCCTCAAGCCAAAACAGCCTTTCATCCTCCCAAAGCCATGCATTATTGATGATCAGACCAGAGAGAGACACACTGCTTTTCCCAGTGTGACAGCTAGCTGCCTGTGTGAACGTGTGTATCAATGCATTTCTCTGAGTGTGTGTATAAGGCTTTGTGTGTGACTAAATAGGTGGGCTGCATTCCTTCAGTGATTAGCTTGTGTAAATTGAGAGCCAATCAAAAAGCAGATGATGACATTAGCGCAGCCATTGGCTCATGCGCTCTACTATCATCATGACAACAACCTCTGTAACCAACTAGCATCTCCAGTGTCTGCACTATGTGTGTTATTCCTTTCTTGTTGCACATAACAACATGTGTGTGATGCCATCATTTCAAACGTTTGCTGATGCAACACTTGTGTTTACAATGAACCCTGCAGCCTGCATCCACACACAGCAAACTTCTTCAGAGAGCTCACTTGAATAATATTCAAGTTCTCATTAGGGCTGTACGATTTGGGGAAATAATGTAATATAATATAAATATAAATGGTACCCTATAATTTTTCTGACAAATATTGCGATTGCGATTCGATTCGCGATATTTGTTTTTAAGCGACCCAACGGAAGTTTATTGTAAAATGTAGCCATATCTCCAGCTAGGAAGGTCGCATCAACACACTCCCGTCTCTAGCACCCCCACAGCCCGAGCTACGAGTGAAAGAACTAAACTTACATGAAACTTCCGTTGGGTTGCTTTAAAGTCAAGCTACAGTTGAAGATTCACCCTGTAATAGATGTAAAACATGTGATGGAGCATTACTAACCTGACTCAGATTGTTTGTTTCACCAAACCATCTAGGAAAGCTCCATTGGAAGCCATTTGGAAAGGGCAGGCACTTTCAAAAATATTTGGCAGGTGATTGGATCAATCTGTCTATCACCTTCTATCATGGGCCACTTCTGATTGGTTAACAATGGCTGGTACATGTGGAGCACAGCACTTCTGATTGGTGTGGATGACTGACACACAAGAAGAAAAAAAAATTAAAAAAATTGAACGTTTTTTTTTTTAATCGCAGGCTTTGCGATTTGATAATCGCATCATTTAAAATCGCGATTTCGATTTAAAATCAATTAATCGTTCAGCCCTAGTTCTCATTTCCTCCATTTTAATATAAACAACCACCAGACAGGACAGCGTTTGCCACTTAGGCAAAGTAGTGCAGGATTGCTAAAGGGGAATTTTAAACTCTTTAATTCCAGCATCACATTTTTAATAAGCTCAAGCATTTTAAAGAAAAAAATAGAAGGAGAAAATCATGCTGCAAGTATGTTGAATAATAGTACGCTTATTTCGCTCTCTGAAATAAGCTTATGAAAAAATGCTTCTTATTTTAATAAGCAGCTTTTCTTAGGTATGAGAAAATACAGCAAGAAATATGTAACGTAATATTAATTAGCATTTGAGGGTATATATCTATGACATGCTTTCCAAGAGGAATGAAGGGCCACGATTACAATTGTTGTATTGTTTAATCAATGAACCTGTCATAGGCGTTGCACATGATGAAATATGTTTGTTCCAAAAACATATAATTATTCAATTTACAATCATATACAAACACAGAAAAGCAGCAAGAAGTTGTAGTCAGTGAATGTTTGCCATGTGCTTGAAAAATGACTGTAGATTATGATTCAGTTATTATCAAAATGTTTGGCAATCCACTTAACTCATTATTTCAGTAGTAGCAATTATACTTATTATCCAAAATAATCATTATCATGTTTTATTTACATTCAAGGTGATGTTTGACCAAAATGTGCCTGTTAAAAATCATCAAATATCGAGGTATACCTGCTTCACCATTTTCCCACAATATTCTTCAATTGAAGAAAATAAAATGTCACACAGAAGTCAAGCAGGTTCTTGTGGGGAATAACACAATAAAGCTTCTTTCTCTGACCGGCCTGAAGGCTTGATGCTGAGCCTGTGGGAATGTACGGTACATCGATGTTTCTAATGAAGAGCGGTGAGCTCCATTGATCCACCGGGGATGAGAGTGAGCTGTCAAAAGCTATCAGGCGAGTCAAAGACCCACTTTCAGCCCTGTGCAGCCGGAGTGAGCATGATACTGTTGGGGCACAAGGAAGAGAGGCTAAACCTCCTAAGGCAAATACTATAGAGAAGAAACACACACGCAGACACTGCTTTGATGCCTTAACAGCATTTGGGGGGAATTTGTTCTGTAAAGGAACATTACACAAATAACAATAAGGGACTACATTGTAATTTATTTTAGAACACACTGGATATGTGATCATGGTTTCATTTTGATTATCAATTTGTTGACTGTTTCCTTGATTATTTACAAAGTTACTTATTTAGGAGAGCCAAGGGTAGGTTCTTCTAAAGTCTTTATACGTTGAACAAAAAGTCGTAAACCAAAAGGTTTCCAATGTACAATGAATTATATTCATGTTGTCACAACTATTTAAAAACGACTGTTTTTGTTGGTGTTTTCTTATTACAAAAAAATGCAATTATTAATTAATTATCAAAATATTTGCCATCTATTTTGCTATCATAAATTCAAGTTATCATTTCAGCTCAGATGCAAACTTTATTTAATTTCAAATGATGTGAAAGAGCGTGGACAGCAATAACACGTGGGTGGTGTTTTAGCCATGTATGACAATAGGCTAATATTTATCATCTTCTCAATGTCTGTGGTTCTTTGCAGAGTACAAGCTGATGAAAGCACTAATCATTGCACAGATACTAAGTAAATGCAGGATTAAAACGGATTAGAAACAGAGCACAGATGCGGTTGTAGGTGGAGCTACCATACTGTACAAAATGACATGGTAAACTGCTTTCAAATAGACAATACAATGGGGTGAGAAAAGAGAAGTCCAGGTTTAAGCTAAAAACTTGAGAGTGACCAATGTAACTTTGTTAGTTGTCACAACTAAATCACCAACCCCAAACAAAAAGATTGATGGATATTTTTATTTCAGAGCTGTTGTAAATATATCTTAAAGTGTATCATTATATAATCTGTTTAAGGCTCCACCTAGCTCTTCAAGCTTGCCACATGACAACTTTGGGTCATGAGAACTCTTTTGTGACTAAGAAATTGGGTCAGGGGGTAGAAAATTTGAGAAACTAGTAAAACCGGGTTGCATTGACAGAAATTGAAAATGACAGCAAGTTTATCCCAAATACAGATCCATCAACAGATGACTGGATCTGAAAAAACTACATCTGTCAGATGTGTTTATTAACTTTATTTTGAAGGATCATAAGACACACGTTTGTTGTAGCTGTCACTGTAAACACACACATCTCACACCAGATACACAAGACTTTCTCAAATACCCCGAAGCAGCAGAATAATCTGACTAGCTTCAGTGTCCAAATATGTCTTTGACACTGCATCCACAGCAGCAGTCGGTGAAGCACACTAGCAATTACAGCGGACTTGTAACCCTCCTGCTAATACTGCACATAGGACAGGGCACTTTTAATCAGTAAAAGTTGAGACTGAAGAATAATCTTCCAAGCGTGTGTCGTCACAGGCTGGCGAAAAGGGGAGCAAATGTCCTGCTTTGCATGGACTTAAGAAAGATTATAAAACAGAAAAAATGCAATGCGTCAAACTGTTTCCATCACACCCTGTGGTTAACCCGTCCATGCACTGAGAAGGATGTAAGGGCTAAAACTCGCTTGCACTAGTCTGCAAATATTTTTTGCACGACTAGAGGACTGTCCTGTGTAAAGTGATGAGATCAGCAATTTTGATCATTGTGACAATTAAAGACATGGGAAATGGAGATGAACAAAATGAGGTCATGCGTCAGTTCCATTGTAGTAATGAAATATGTGAGAATTATTAATCCTCGAAATAACTAAAGCATACATACAGTATACTATTTTATTCTAATCTATACTACTCTGTTTCATTTTGCACAGTTTTTATTTTTTTATTTTGTGTATCTTATGTCCTTTAATATGTTGCATTGTTGGAGGAAATGTTCATTGCCATAACTACACTGTAGCTACTGGGCATATGACTTGAATACATATATCACAGCAAAACTCTCAAAAGTCTCTAAAAAGTTCCAGCGTTACAGTGAAAGGTAAAGTGTTGTGTTGGGGCAGGTTAGGTTTGTGGCCCTCTGTGGCTCTCGTGCAGTGCACCAGCTGAGCTCGAGCAGTTGTGGCAGTGCAGGGCTACATGTGGTTTGAAACCATGGTGTGGAAATATAATGAGTTGTTTTGAAAAACAGTATAGCTTGCTATTTCAGTAATTGCAAAAGGTACAGTCTGACCTATTTATGGAGGCAGGACCCATTTGACTAAACATTACATATGAGGCCTTCCAACTGGTTTGCACACATTAAATAGCAATATGATATTAATTATTGTGATCTTACATATTGGGCTACATTTTCTTTAAATGTAATCAATCCAAAACATATTTCAAAATAAAGCCAACAACTTCCATTATGTACAGAATGTTAAGAGTTCAATACAAATATCTTAAAGCTATGAGATGAGTTGTGACACTTGTATTCATTCAGAATGAGTCATTAGTTTGAGTGAGGACAAGGGATTATTTTAAAACTGTATTCAGGTGTGGCATGTGATAAAAAATTTTTTTGAAAGAATAAGTTAAATAAATCCAAACGATATTTCAATGTTGTGATCTAATGATACTCAACAAAAACATAGCTATAGTTGCACGAATACGACAGTATACAAATACAGATGTTGAGCGAACAACTGAAGCGCTTTATCTTGAAGTAATCATTTCGTGCAGTAAATGTGATGTGATATTTCACAACAGAAAACAACTTGTCTGACCAAACAACTCTGGATAAAATCTCTTGTTTGCATCTGAGGAAGACATCACTCACCTTGCAGCGACGTGATGACAGCTCAATTGAGTTGTTTGGAGTGAACTGAAGAGACAGCAGGAGTTGCGCGTTTCTCGTGGGATGAATACAAATGATTAACTTTACACTATTAAGCTTAACGTAAGCACAGAGAATAACTTCACGGTACACTATTACAAATTAACACTCGTGGATGAGATTGGCACTAAATTGCCCGCTGCAGCCCATTATGATACATCCTCCTGGCGCTTTAAGCGGATAAAAAATAGCTTTCTCTTTTTGGATTTACTGTTATATGATTGGCTACGACGGCGCAATATGATTTTATAAAGAACCAATAAGATTACAGGTGGCTCTGTGGTGCGCACGTTTTATAACAGAGCGTCGCCCGGTGTGTAATAAGGATCACAAAAGTCGAATCCCGCCCGGCGGTGTTAGAGTGGAATAAAAACAAGCAGACCTCATTCATATGTACATTACGCTTTTGGAAATGGTTTGTGGGGAATGTAGTTTATTTGAAAGACCTTTATCGTTTCCGTGAACGACACAGACACCATTAAAAAACTACATATCCGCCATGTAAAAGAGCAAACACTTCTTGCATCAGCGTGTGTGGACTACGCTCACCGGCAAAGTTACTACCAGTACCAGCTGCTACTTGTCTTGTTTTAAAGTCAAATATATTGTCAGCACTAAGGCCAAGTAAGTCCCGATATAACACTGTGGCTACAAACAACCAGATGAAACTATTCGTCAGTGAAGGCAACCCGCACTGCCTGAAAGTGTTAGCAGCTGTAGAAGTGAGTGGAGTTCAGTGTGATGTCCAGTATGTCAACCACGAAGGTAAGGGAGCATGGTTAGCTGAACACAAGACTGTATATCTAATTGTGAGGGTGACTTATATCTGATAACTAATCATAATATGTGGTTTAATCACGTTTGAATCGCGTGTGTGTGGTAACTGATGTGTACTGTTTAACTGCAAGCTAACGTTAGCCCTAGTCCTGACCAAATGCTAACTGTTGACTGACAGCGCGTAGCATTTGAGAAGCTGCTAGAAATCTACTTTACTGCACATCACTGCTTTGTTCGTCTTCTGTAGTACCGTTTGTTAGTGCAGCCCAATGTAGCCTTTGTTTAGCAGTGTATACAGGTGTAGAGCTTACCTGTACAGTTGACAGCCTACAGTACAACAGTAGCTAGGCTAAACTCCTCCTGCCTGGAACAGTCCTGGTTTACCTCGGTTGGGTTTACGTTACATTACACGTTTACGTTACATTACACGTTTACGTTGTAATAACAGTGTAGAAAAGTCGTTGTTACATGTTAAATTCCTGCATTCAAAATATTAATACAAATACAATAGTATAAGGATTCAGATATATTTTTAATTACAAAAAAATCTGAATCAGGTTTATTACTAAGTAGGTTTACAAATACAACGAAGTTGCTTTTGTCTATAATAGTGCATGCATACACATCGTAATCAAACAAGAGCCAATGCAGAACTATGTTGGAATAAACAGTAAAAGAATGTTACTGTAGTTTTAATGAGACAGTATTGTGAAGAAATGTAAAAAATAGTCAGAAGAAGGTGCAAGGTTCACCTTATGGAGTATAAGGAATGACTCACAAGATGTTACAAAATGTGCATTAATGTGATGCAAATAAAAGTACTCATTGTGGAGAGTGATCGGTTTCAGTATAACTTACATTATCTTTTCATTAATGTGTTTATAAACTAGTAAAGGTGGTGATATTATTATTATTATTTTTATTATAAGTAGTAGTAGTAGTAGTAGTAGTAGTATTAATAATAATATCATAAGAAGTCTTATTTTGCACTATATGTGAGAGCAGAGTAGGCCATCATGGCAACACAAAAAAGGTTTGCCTACAAATTGGGCCAACATGTTCTGACTTTGACAAAAGTAAACACGTTGAACTTTTCTTGATATTGATTTGAACCAAATCACCATTAATGGCTTTCGATCGTACCTATTACTCACAGTTGAAAATGTTGTCCAAAGACTGGTTTATTGCCAGTAGTCTTCCCTAGGCTAAGCTTAATAATGATCATTAGATGGTGATTTTATTTTTGCATTGAGTCCATTTAACTACTGCTACAACTCTGAGTACTACTGCGACAGGGGCTATTTCTCTCAGACGCATTGTCTTTGGAACTTCATCTTGGTGCTGTTGTGTAAAGGAATTCATTCCAGCTTTGGGCTTATGTTGTTGTCTCAGGCATGTGGGAGAGGCTTCACTCTCTTCAGTTCCAGATGTGTGCTAGTCCTCTGTGGGAGCTGATCAGAGATGACAAACCAGTACCATCTGGCACACAGGACTCAGAGATATTTTATCTATACAAACAGAATTAGGTGTATGGAAGTACATTGTATCATTCATTTAAATATTTTGTTTAAAATGAGTGGAAATATACAGTACTGTTCTTCTACCTGAGCGTAGAGCCAATACAACATTATTTAACATTTTTTTAAATCAAATATATTATCACAATCCCTCATTTAGTGATAAATTCCAGATAAAGAAGCTCAAATCCGGGACCTTCTAAGTGACCTTTGTGCTCTCGAGTGGTTATTCTAGTAAGAATTGAGGCTAAGAATTTGATCACAGGATTATCATTGACGCATATGAGGAGTCGTGTGTTGTTATTACTTCTCCTTACGGCTTTGGATTCTAATATAATCTCTGTTTAGGAAGAACAAGCTCATCTACCAGGCAATGTTATTTCTTGTGTGTTTTGTATTTGCTGTGATGCATCTAAACAAACATTGTGATCTGTTATTTTCTTTTAGAGAGAGTGGTGCCCTTCCTTAGCCGTCCAGCCCTGCCTGCCCTTCTCCTGCCCAGTGGACTGCATCTTTTCAGCTCCAATGCCATCTGCCGGTCAGTCGACTATAGACCCTCCTGCCAAGTTGGCATGAATATCAAGGCTGTTAACCAAGCCTCTCTATAACGTTTCAGATATCTAAAACCCTTAAGAATCAGAACTAAAACAAATTACACTTTTATCTCAATTTGAGCCATGCAGATTTCAGCTCATATTATAAATCTGTGAGCCTTGCTAATGAAATTTGAGATGGATATCTCAAAACATGGGCAAGCCAAAGAAGGGATGTAACATGTAAACATATTTCCATGTCATATTAAATTAATGATAAATCGGATAGTTACACTATAAAATGAAACAGGCTATAATAGCAGGGACATTTGTGTACTTTCCATTTATAATGTCTAGACTTTAATCACATTTTGAGGCACACTGTAACTAACTCATTTGACGATGTTAAAGATATTTGTATATATTTGAAGTGTGAGTTCGGTTGAAATCCCTTTGAAATGAAGTAAACAGCATCTCTTTGACACACGTTCCCCTTATTCCCTTAGATACCTGTTTGAAGTAAGTGGAGAAGACTCCAGTGAACTTTGCAACCAGTGGCTTGAATGGGAGGCCACAGATCTTCAGGTAAGCTCTACATAAAATCATTCAGTTTGCTGGTAATCTGCACTAACACTAAACCTCTTTGAGATGGAAAACTATTTTTAGTTCCTGCCTTTGAACGTTTTCTAATGCAGAATCCTCTTACTGTCCCTCAATGTGTTGCCAACGGGACATGAATCCATGCAGCTATATGATTAAAGCTCATGCTCTCAAAAGAACAATTTGCTCTGTAGGGCTTAAGAAAATGAATTGTTAAACCTCAGTCATGCTTCTTTGGTTTACTTGCTTGATCTAGTGTCATTCAATCAATTCTAATTATCTCTGTTTTTTTTTTTGTGCAGCCCGCTCTGCTACAGGCTCTTCACTTGGCAGTGGTGCAGGGAAAAGTTTCAGAGGTGTCCAAGGTCCTCCAGGGGCCACTAAACTACTTGGAGCAAAGCCTGAGCAAGGGGAACACGCCATATTTAACCGGGGTACAGCATCAACATCTCCTGTTAAGCTACTGCAGTACTTATTTGTCTATTAACACTTACTTGCTATGTATGGCGTGAGCACATTTACAAGATAAGGACAAACCTACTCACTCAAACAATGCCTTTTTACGGCTATTTTTAACATATGATCAAGTCAAAAGTGCACGATGCCTCTATGGAAGCTCAGCTGAGTCTCCTCTGTGCCACATCAGGCTCCTCAGGCAACATTTCTTTTTCTTTTTTTCAGCTGCTGATGTTGAGCTAGTGATACATTTTTAAGTTAAAACGATTTTTTTTGGTGGAAGCGCTCCCTTACTGTATGTTGCAGAAGTGCCTGAGTGTGGGGGGGTTGGTGTGGGTTCAGTTCCCTGTGGTATTCGCAGCCCCTGAGGCTACAAGTCATCTGCGTCTGTCATATATTTAATGTGTACAGAAATGTGTTTTGTGAAGTCTCTTGGTAATTGGCATGGCTTGGAGGAGCCCTGTGTAAAGCTAAAGAAAACTGTGGTAAGCACTAAGCACACAGTGAGGCAGTACATGGAGTCCATGTTTAGTGAGAAGGAGGCGCGGAAAAACAATCATGCTGAAAATTGTCCTTTTTTTCTGTATTGTTTAGGGCTTTGAAATCAAACAAACATTTAGTTTTTTGATGGAATAACAAGTAAATGAGAAATGGAAATGTCAGTTATAATTTGTGTTTAATGTTTAAAAATATATGTTTATTAAGATGTGTTTTGTTTCAGGAAGCTGTTTCAGTTGCTGATGTTGTTTTGTGGGCTGCGCTGTACCCTGTTTTATCTGACGCTTCACTAGCATTGGGTAAGTAGTAATAAACGCTCATGCCTAAATTACCCAAATGTCTTATATCTTGTTTCCTATGTTATAATGATCCCTTATGCAACCCTTTACATTTCTTGTCTACTTTTTTCCCCCCCTTTTCTTCCTTCCTTTTCCCTTCCTTACTATTTCCTGGCTTCTTTTCACTCTTTTAACAGGCGAACGTGCGTCTATTAAGGCCTGGTTTGACCGTGGGGCTGTTATGCACAGTTGCCAGTCTGCTGCTCAGAAAGTGCTGCAGGGGAAAGGCCTGCAGGGCATGAAGAGCTACATGCAGAGGCAGCCTGCCCCCCCGAGCAGCCAGTGCAGAGACTCGCAGCCATGCAACGGCAACCCAGCAGAGGTATCAGCCAGATCACCAGGATTACCATTACACTTAAAGCATTCTTATTGATCAAACGTCTTCCCGGGGTGCTTCAGTACCTGACTACACGTGTGCTTTTGCCTCAGGAAACATGTACACTCT